AAAAAAATACTAGCAAACCAGTGAACCAAAAGTTCACCAAAACCTGATTTTAAAAAAAATGTATTTAATTAATTGAGAACTTCGGAGATTTTGTGTGGTTTCGTTTGAAATTCGTGATTTCTCGAAAACCGGAAGTGCTACGTTACTCAAATCCGGTTTGTAGTCTTATCAGACTATTCTTAACTTATAACTTAAATATTCTCTTTATCTATCTCTTACGGTTTGGCCGCTGAAACAGCACCACAGACGGAAGGACGGACGGACTTGTCTAATAGATAAGAGATAACATTCCTTCCTATTCGAAAAACAAAAGTTCATTTTTATATTATTTACTGCCAGACACATCAATAGGCCCACCTAGCTTTTTAAGTTTTGATGTGACGGGCTCTAACAAAAAAAAAAGTGAATTAAGCAAAAAGTTTTTACGCAGTTTTAAATTTCGTGTGTTTTTTAAAATATATAATCATTGCTCAATCTAACATATATTTTGCAACAGTCAGATGAAACTTAAGTGGGTCGATAGATGTGTCCGGGAGTGTAGTTCGATTTTCTAACGGCTGTCGCGTTTTTTATTTTTTCTTTCTTCATCACAAGGCGAAAGCTTTTGAGTTTGTATATGTTTGTTACTTCTTCCCGTCTAAACGGCTGGAGAGATTTTAATAAAATTTGGTAAGAAGTTAGTTGACACCCTGGATACGATATAACACATAGGCTCCGTTTTACTACGGGAAAATATCCCTAATACACCGCGGGTAACACCGCGGGCCACAGCTAGTTTAATCTAAGGAGTAGAAAATGCACATTTTTGTTTAAGAAAGCGTTAGTACTAGGTTAAATAATAAAAATAACATTACACTGCAGAAGACTCTGATAATGGAAGACATATTATTTGATTCGCGTAGAAATCAGAAATCAGTATATATTTATTCAAATTGGATGTATAGTACAACTCTTTTGAATAGTCCAAAAAATTTTTTTTCCCTACCACTAGTTATGGACATATTTTTTAGCTGCGGAGAAAAACGAGCGAAAAAAACTCCACAACATTAAAAGTGTAATGTAACAACATTTACAAATCATTATGTTGTTACAACGTCAATACAATTATGATTTATTTAATATAGAAAACCTGTTGGAATGATTGGAACAGTTCAAACCCAAGCATTTTTGTCTGTAATATAATCAGACACTTTGTAATAAGCTTTTCTAATAAGTGTTTTTTTTTTATAATATCTTTAAATTTATTTATGGCTAACTCTTGGATATTGCTTGGGACTTTATTGTATAAGCGAACACAAAGGCCTTTAAATGAATTATTAATTTTGTGAAGCCCAGTATCAGGTAAAGTTAGTTTATTTTTGTTTCTTGTATTAATTGTGTGAACATCACTGTTTTTAAGAAACAAATTAATATTTTTTCTTACAAGTAGAAAATCACAGTTGAGATCGATAGTTTAAAAATTGACTCTACGGTATAACGAGACTTGGTAATTAATTGCACTTGTTCAGTAGTGAGTGCGTGTTAATAATTACTTACAGACAGATAAAATCGTTTATTTCCTTCATGTACAGAACACAATTTGAAGTAGGCAGCATTTATGGACCGTGAGTTTTGAGTTAAGCTGAGAAATTTTGCTAGATAATTCAGTAAACTATTTACTTCCGCAAGAAATTATTTAATCCTCTAAGATTTTTTTGAAAAACGTTTGGGCATCCTAAATAATCACTTTTAACACAATTGGAATAAAACTTGATGTGAAACAGCGACACACTAAAAAGCGAATGACAGCTATGACGGGCGCCGGGGCTTACCCATATTCCTTTAAAGAAAAACAAAACTAATAATTTTATTCTTTTTAGTTTATATACTAGCAAACCAGTGAACCAAATGTTCACCAAAACCTGATTTAAAAAAGAAAAAAAAATGTATTTAATTAATTGAGAACTTCGGAGATTTTGTGTTGTTTCGTTTGAAATTCGTGATTTCTCGAAAACCGGAAGTGCTACGTTACTCAAATCCGGTTTGTAGTCTTATCAGACTATTCTTAACTTATAACTTAAATATTCTCTTTATCTATCTCTTACGGTTTGGCCGCTGAAACAGCACCACAGACGGACGGACGGACTTGTCTAATAGATAAGAGATTCTCAATATAATGTCAAATGGCGCGTGCTACGCCTACTACATGTGTTATTCGAGCTAATCTCGAGGACGGAACATGAAGTATAATGAAACCTTAACCATTATAAATGTAATAATTTAATTCAAATAGAACCATGTACTTTAAAGATCTACGTACTTTAAACTTTAGGAGGAGCTCGATGGGGCGGATGGTTAGCGCGTTCGGCTACGATCGTTGGAATTAAGCAACTTTCGCAGAGGCCAGTCATTGGATGGGTGACCAAAAGTTTTCTATCTCGAGTTCCCTGCTTCGGAAGGTACGTTAAGCCGTTGGCCCCGGCTGCATCTGCAGTCGTTAGCACCCGCCAATCAGCACTGGGCCCGCGTGGTAGATCATGGCCCTCTCCATCTCCCTCTTTCATCCATAGGAAAGGCCTGTGCCCCAGCAGTGGGGACATTGGTAGACTGATGATGTTTACTTATTTTTTTTATTTAAAAATTTGCACCGTTTTAGGATATTTTGTAAAAGGTAATAGTTAATATGTTTACTGTTTAAAACTGTTGACGCTGTTTTTTATTTACACGGTTTTTAAGTTCATAGGTAACTCAAAGTTGTCGGTGTATCATCATCATCATCAGGCTATTAATGTCTCCACTGCTGGGGCACAGGAAGGCCTAGTGCGGACTGGTGGGTGCTAACCACTGCAGATGCAGCCGGGACCAACGGCTTCCGAAGTCCGACCAAGTTCCTTCCGAAGCACGGAGGAACTCGAAATAGAGAATTTTTGGTCACCCATCCAATGACCGACCACTGCGAAAGTAACAACATTCGCAGTGGTCGCAATGATTCACAACTTCAACGATTGCAGACGAACGCGCAATCTTTCTACTATATAAAAATAAGTCGGGTTTTCCTTCCTGACGCTATAACTCCAGAACGCACGAACCGATTTCCACGGTTTTGCATTCGTTGGAAAGGTGTCGGGCTCCGTGAGGTTTATAGCAAAGAAAATTTAGGAAAAATTAAAAAAAAATCTTCTTTTAATCACCAAACGAAATGTTACATAAAACGAAGCCATCTGGTGGCGAAACGGAGTTCGCCGGGGTTTGCTAGTAGTGTATATTTATCAATTATCGCTGCAGCGACAGCAGAAGACAAAAAAACAGCTCCGAGAGTAAAGCACTGATTTTTAAATTTGCGTAGAAATTATGAAAACCCTCCAACGTAATAATAAGTTCGGTCGCGCAGCAAAATCCCTATCCCCTCCAAGCCTGCTAACTTACGTAAGGAACTTTCGTTCCAAAACAAAATAAAAACAGTATTGGCATTCTTGAAAATATCTCAGTTTGTGAGGCACAGATCTTCCTCAAAGTCTAAATCATGTAATAAGGAGACCCACCTAAGGCCACCATGGGTGATCTACAGATGCAGCTGACACCAGCAGTTTACTTGCCCTGTGAAGTACTAAGAAGCTAGATAGTAAAAATTTGGTCAGCCACTCATAGATTAACGAGTCATTATTGATATCCTCAGCATAATAACTGTCAATAATTTTGATCCAATGACAAAATCCAACTTCATTTGTTGCCGGGTTGCAGTGGTTTTATTCTAAGCGAGTGAAATAGGAGTGATGACGGGGTACAATAAACGAAATTCTATTAAGTCCGTCAGTTAGATGATCAAAAAATAATGGACACGTATTTTTTCTTTGGGCAATCAACCAAAAAATGACAAAGTTATAGCGCGTCAAAGTTTGGGAGTAGGGGCTCGTGACGTCACTTTTAAGTGAAAATTGTACCAAAACATGACGTCATGCGACTTTTCAAATCAATATCTCTGCAATGTATATATTATGTGAAAAAAGAAAAAATACGCGTCCAATACTTTTTGATAATCTACCTGATAAACGAAGAAAAAAAAAATAGTCATCATCCCTATTCAAAGCGTCGCGTCCTACGATCCAACCTTCGAGTTGTGAGTTTTGCAGTCCACACGTTGATTTCTACTCGCTTAAGAGTAAAAAGATCAAGTTATACCCTATGTTAGAACGGACCATTAAGCCTACGTTTTTCCGGAATATGAAATGAATGTGACAACGAAAGTTTTAATAGTTAGGTACATACATAATGTCCAGAAGTCCATCTACGAGGAATACCATGCGCAAAATTCTCTCTGGAAACTGGTAATCTAAATTCCTTTTTACAAGAGTTCAGCGAGTCCGTCGGTGAGAGAATTTCACTAATTTGTCGATGCTTATGACAAAACCACGTAGTATTGCCATAAAAGTCGTATGCACGTGCATAATTTACTCTACCTATTCTAAGAGAAACTTCATTAATACAATTTACAGGAAGCAGTATTTGGATTTCATAAAAATATATCTTTTATTTTACTAAAATGGGTGTTCTTAAACTATGATAAGGTACCTAGATTGATTTCTTTACTTTTTCCAAATTTTATGATTAATTTTGTATAAAATCGAGTTACAATTAATTCTCGAGGGTGATTAAATCTTATTTAACATATTTTCATTCTTTAATATAGAAATCATCAAAATCGTTCATATTAAATCAACCACATAAAAGTAAACTACAATAACGAAATCACATTGATTCCTATAAGCAATTAATTTAATTAAAACGATTTATCTAACGCTCGATCCCTTTATATAACTATATGATCAAGCTATACATTTGATTCGAAAGCCCAATTATGCAAAAACCATTTGACATGAAATCGGCCACCACTATGAAACTCAAAACGCATGGCGTATGTTCGCCGCATGCGCTTACGCACAATTTGGCGGGAACTCGGAGGCGGGTGGGGGTCCGCGGAATAAAACCGCTATGCCGCCTGTGTTGCTTTACATTTCACTTAACACCAGCGAAGGAGCGTCCAAGGATACGCACAAAATGAAGAGCTTCCTTCTTATATTAGTGAGCGTCGGTGTTGCGACTTGCAAGCCTGCTGGTGGTGAAGATGACGTCGTCGGATCAGTCATCGGGGTCGTGAAGGGCTGTGGCGAAGAAGATATCTCGTTGTGTCTGAAGGTGTGTGACAGTGTTTAGTGTTCCAGGATACTTAGGGAACCCTCTACATTTGTTAGGGCAAACTTATTTCGTTCCCTTTAAATCAAATGTGGTATTTGTCGTTAGCTATCGAGAATTTAGTTCAGGTTTTAATCTTTCTTAGTTGAGTTGAGAGCGTGCCTGACTTGACCTAATCGGTTGTGGGTTCAATCCCCGGTCGGGTTTATTTCACTCTATATGATCATGGTTTAGTCACTTAATGATTTTTAGCACAAGTGTCCTTATCTACCTTATTTTGGATTAGAATAATGTATGTTACGTTGTCATCTTCAAAAGTGTAAAATTTTTTTTGATCAAATACCTAATTATGATTTATCGTGTAAAAAATCAGCAGAGTCAACATTTATTGAAATTGAAGAAATAGGTTGACCTAAACTATCATTTCCCTTAATAAAACAAAAAGAAAAATTCCACAGCAATAAAAAGACATTGAAACTAATCTAATCAAATGTTTTATCTTACACAGGAGCGTGCACTGAAATACGTCGAGAACATCAACACAGCGCGGGAAGTGAGCCTCACTGACGGTATCAGTCTCATCGGCACCGGCTCCCCTCGCTCGGCCAGGTCCTTCGAACCCCTATCCGATGAACCCAAAGCCAGGGAGAACCAAGTGGAGTCGAGACTGCTCGACGCTGCTGCGGACTTCTTAGAAAATCACGTTATCCAGCTGCGTGTACCGAAGAACACAGTCGATGACGTCAAGCGGTCCCTTGAAGAAGGTAAGATTTCACATTACTTTTGGCTGAGCAATATTTATCGATACAAATTCATTAAAAAATATTAAAGAACAGCTAGGGGTGAGATCCTGCAGACCCTCTCGAGTTCCGCTCCAGTAAGCTGGAGAGGAGAGTCTTGTTTTTTAGTACTCAAGACCACCTAAATGTTGATGTGAATCTTGAGAAATTTAAACTAATCTCACCAAACTTTATGTCGAACTTAGAAAAAAAAGCATTAAAATACGTCGAGAATACTACTAACAAAATCAATTATCATTTAACTCTACCACTTCTCAATGCTGTAGCGAATTATTTTCATATCATCTACTAAGCAAAGTTAGTGATTAATTTAAACCTGAATAGTTGTAAAAATAATTATGCTCTAAGCGGACAAAACAATTCAGTAATCGATCTAGAGTTTTCTAATCGTAATCACTAAAACAAGTGGAATCATAGATCGATGTTGTCATAATCTACTTTGACGGTTCCGCTAAGATCCTCTAGTTCTCTATTTGGAAGCTTAACCCCAATATTAGTGTCACGTTCACGAACAGAGTGTTATGAAACATAATAGATGTAATAGTTTCATTCGCTCGGGTGCACGCTAACTTTGGTCTGCGAATTATGTATAGTCACGTAGTGTAAAGTGGTTCTTTCTAGTAATTTAACGTTGAAGATTCTTCAACATGTTTATACTATCGAAGTTATGGATAATTTGATCAAAATTGACTGTAACTGTTATACATTATTTTAAAATTGTTGAGTAATTGGCACTGCTATAACATTCTTTATTCCGCTGCGCGCATTAATTAATACATGCTAACATTAAATAATATTCACATGTTACTAGGATTGCTGTTAGATTAATGCTCAGAAAATTGTCGTATTGCCAATAATGCAAAACATTAAACATTTCTTTAAGTCATTGCCGTTGAATTTTGTACTATATACTTTGCTATTTATGATAGCCGTCAAATCTGTTATTATGTCTGATGCCGGCATTGACACGCGGAACACATAGTCATTGTTAAAGTTTTTTTACTATTACGTCCGCAATAATTTTCGTAAGTAGTAAATTACAAAAAGTGAAAGCAATCTCACAAGATAATCTCGTAACACAACCTTTAGCTAAGGTTAAAATCAGTTATTGCGAATCAGTTAAATATAATAAATAATTAATCAAAATCAACACACAATTGTCGTTTGATAAAAGAGGATAAAGTTAATAATGAAACGGCGAAAGTGATCGAAAATAAGACAAATCACCTCGATAAAGTCATAAAACTCACTAAAGAAAATGATGACTGTTTTGTTATAGATATTTTTCAGCAACAATCTTGGATTTTAGAACTTCCATTGTGTTCGATTTTGTCTACGCGGTCAATCATACTACACCAATGCCTCATTATTGTTACATGGGACATTAACATAGTATTTCGCATAACTGGTATTATTTTAGGATGACACGCATAAAAAATATGTTTTCTTAAATCCCAGCTTATAAACTCTTAGCCCAGTGTCCAGAACGAATGAGCACTAATGAGACCCCAATTAGGTAAAATAATTTATTTAATTTATGTGCGTGACTGCAATAAAAAATAAGAGATCTGTAGCTTACGTGAATACGCTTAAAAAGTAAAAAGCAGGTGTTATATAAAACGCGAGTCATGACCATATAATTGCCAACCATAACATCCGCCGAAACATAAATTAAAAATTTTACCAGCAACCGGTCCCACAGGTACACGAGATAAGTACTGAAAATAGAAAGTTACCATTAAAAGCCTCGAAACTCAATTACGTAGGTACATAAAAATTTCATTTCGAAACAACAAAAAAAATATACGTGACATCCGCGAAACTGACATTATTTTTCTAGGATGAGAAAATACCTTTGGCAAAAACGGATATCCTCTTCCAGTCACTGACATACACCCATAAAGAGAAGACACTAGAAATCGTAAAAGCCAAACTGGTCTAGCAGGAGTTTCTCTAACCTATTAACAAGCTTGATTATAGTGGAAAGCGGGTGGAATAAGTCTAGTTTTTGCTAGATTTCCATAGTACCTTACACTTGTAAGTATGTAGGACTGTACGTAACCAGTTTGTAGTTCCGTTAAGTCGAACCACCGTGATCGAAATCTTGATCGAGAATCGAGTAAAAGTCCGCTCCAGGCGGAATCTCGTTAACAAAATATGGAAGTGGGTCCGGAGCTTTCGAATTACGTCCTGTAACCGATGCACTTTCTAGATGGACAAGGTTGTTATGCAAACCGAACGTAACATTGTGAATTTCAATGAAAGTGATACTGTTTTAAATTTCGACTTCGACATTCAAACATCGCGGTCACTTTGAATTCAAATTAGAACTTGAGCCTACTCTCATAGCTTACTGATACAGTTCATTCGTTTTCGTTTTTTGCATTCATTACAATGTGAATGCTCTAATTATATGAATGTGAAATCATATTGTCGACTTCGTTAGCATACACATTAGTTCACATGCTCTAGCAACTTGTTTACAGGTTTATTACTTATTATCGATGATGGGAAACATGCTTTAATTACTCACAGATATATCTGTTTCAACTAAGCTTTTCTTTGTTTTAGGCCGTGGCAAGAAGAAGAAGTTGAAACAGCTCATGCCTATCCTTGCTCTTCTCCAACTGAAGATCCAGTCTTTGATCCCTCTCTTCCTTGGAGTAATCGCCTTCGCTGCAGTCAAGGGTCTGATGCTCGCAAAGGCTGCTCTTTTGGCGTCCGCTCTGCTGCTCCTGAAGAAGCTTCTGTCCAAACATGAAAGTCATGAAAGCTACGAAGTAGTAGCTCATCCACATCACGATGAACATTACAGCCACGGAGGCGGCGGACATGGTGGTTGGGGAAGGTCAGCACAAGACGCACAAAACCTGGCGTACAGTGCCTACTCAAATTGATACCTAAGATAGCGTTAGTGAACTATTAGCCTCCTTGTTTTGCAGGGTTTTAATAGTTGACATTACATCTCTGGTAAGTTTAATACGGACCTCAGATCAATATTGTAATTTATTATTTAATAATTTATTTGAAAATATTTAAAAATGAATGTTTGTTGTTTAATTTATTCAAATGAACGAGTGCATCTTGTCTCAGCTATTGTTTTCCAAAGCATCGCCACCTTTTTATATATCTTATTATATGTTAATCTATTGTTATCGTTAATTTTTGTTTGTTATCATGTACCTGTTTTTGTGTTAGGAGTTTTTATGTCAAGTACAAAGTGTCTTGATTAAGTTTTTTGTTAAGTTGATAAAGCTTTAATATTTTCTATGTTTCTTTTAAGCCATCAATCTATTTGTGTTCATATTCTTCTAGTCGCATTTCATGTATTTATATTTATGTATTTAATGATATCATTTCTATAGTCATTATCTTTAGTTTTGTATTATATTGTATCACTTTTGTAAATATGTTTCATATGAGAGTATTTACGTAAAACATTATTTTTTGCATCTTCATTTGTGTATATTGTATTATGTATCTATAGTTATATATTATCATTCATCAATTTCATATAACTATTAAGTATTTGTTGGGTGATGCCTCTCTTGAATGTACAAACTCTTCACCTTTTACTTTCCTTAGTGCTAGTAATTTTAATCTGTTAATCTCTATTTTCCTAGTAATTTATATGATATAAATTATAACAAACTACCCTTAATAAAAATAATAAAAAATATAGTAGCCATTCTTATTCACGTGGTTTTATTTATGACAAAAGTATTACTACCCCAGATTTCTTCGCACATTAAGAACGAGTTTTTAAAACAGAAAACTAGAAGACATCATCTAGCGACAAAATTGTATAAAGGTATAATAACTCTTTGCTTAAAATTATTTTCCCACACGATACCTACACGGACATTGAATACAATGACCATTTATGACATCATTTTCTGGGCGTGAAAGTTATAAAGGGCCGTTTCCGTCTTGCCCTAGCTATTTTCTAGAACAAAATGAAACCTGCTCATTTGTAAGTATTTTATAAGTGATAATTTTGTTTAATCACGCCAATATATTGTAGCATCTCAATGATAACTAAGACTAAATGAGAAAAATAAAAGCCATGGCTCTGGTTTATTTCCCAGAAACAATAGTGAGAAGCAAGGCTTTCGATCACAAGTTTTCGAAATAATTCTATCAATTGATAAAATAATGAGATATTTTTCTTTTATGATATGCTTCTAGTTCTTTTGTTGAGATTTTACAGTGTTTCGTTGAACAAACTGTAAATTATACTGCATTATCTACGATTTTTCTTGGGATTACGTAAAAGTGTTCACTAACTGCAATCTGATTGAAACAATCGATGTGAAAATTGATTGATCATCGATTATTGTTAGTGTTGGGGTTGTTCTATCGATAAACGTAACGAAAGTATCAAGTTAAGTTAATGGTCTTTACTGATTTAGAGTATTACTTGATAGTTTTACTCTTAAGCGAGTTAAAAGCATCGCTTGGCGACCTACGAGCGAGCCGTCGAGTCTGAGTTTTGCGGTCCACACATTGATTTCTACTTGCTTTAGAGTTAAACTATGCAGTAATATCGTATGTGAGTACGGATCATTAGACGGAGCTGTCAGATCTTTAGAAGACCTTAGAGTAGGTACAACGAAACACCTTCTAAGTGCTGATCTAACTAAGTCTCATATCCACAAAAGTTTTACTAGAACTCTGAACTATTCTGAGAGAGATTAGGTCAACTCGCAAGACTTTAATTCTGCTTCATCACTACTAAAAAGGTTTATCAAACATTTACATATATTTTCAAATATTTTCTTATTCGCAGTTTAACTAGATTGAGCCCATACAATAATATCAAATTAACATTGACGTTTTGACATTTTTCTGAGGGTTAAAGATAGTTTTAGTTGAATCGAAATTTAGAAAAATTTCTGCAAGTGGGCCTAAGTAGGTGTTTTTTCTATAATATTTGGTCTAACTTTAATAGCCAATTAGATTTTTTTTTAACATTTAAATGCGTGTACGTTATTACACCTTTTAGTAGTTCACCGTGCCATTTAATCTTTCCTATAAATTTTGACAGCATAGTGTTAAATTATCGACAGAGAAAACCATCGATGAAGTACTTATCGATATTAACAAACACATCTCTCTGGGTGTACAAGTGACAGTAACAGAAAGTGAAGCACGACAATGCCCAATAAAACATGTCATGCTGTCCATTTCTAACACGACTTTGCACTTTTACATACTACAATGCAGGCGTAAACTGTCTCTGAGTAACTGAAAGTGATTAAATAAATAATGTTCAGCAACATTCTACTGGTGGTATTGAATTGGTGACCAAAATTTAGATTTATTTATTATTTTTTTCTTTACCATAGATCTAGTTACATAGATAAAGGAAGGTTCTTTTTTTAAAGTGTTAAGAGACCTGTACCAAAAAAAACACTCTTCCATAGCATGAGTTAGATTATGGTAAGGTCATCATTTTTTTCTATGATTATAACATATTATAGTGTGAGATGCATCACAGAGCTAGTTAAAGTTAAATTTTACTAAGAATTTACCATGAACTGACATGACAATTTCCGTTAAAATAAATTGGTGCAACTCTGGTATGAGACAATGCAATGTCAGCCTCTTCGGATTCTATGGTTCATAAAAGCTTTTTATCTCCATCTCTTTCTGTCCTTCGAAAGGCACGTTAAGGCCTTGGTCCCTACTGGATTGTATTCTTTAGAACCCACAAATCAGCTCGTGGGCCCACGTGGGTCATAGGCCCATCATCCCTGTGACTTCCGTAGGGAAGGTCTGATGTGCCCCAGTAGTATTAGAAAGTTCATTATTATGACGATGATTCATTAACCAATGAATAAATTAATTAAAACAATCAACCATTTCACTCGGTCGATATAATTATGAACTTTTGGTCACCCATCCAAAGAATGACCAAAGCGAAAGTCACAAAACTTCCACAAACGCGTGAAACATAATTTAATTTTACAATTTTATCTAACTAGAGTAATTTTTCGTAATAGATAACAACGAATGAAACTTTTATTGCACATAATCGAGGATTCGGAGTTTATTTGTTTATTCGACATTCATTTGTTTATTATTTTTTATAAAGTAGAGGTAAGAAATGGATAATAATATTATTTACTTTACTGGTTGACTGGTAGAGAATGCCTATGGCATTAAGTCCGTCATTTACTGTTTTTTTTTATGGTAATCAAGAATAAATAAATAAATAAATTATTCATATCAAACGAAACAGAACCAGTTTCAGCTGTGCCAGTTATAGTACGAGGCACTGGTGGATTCGGTGTAACGCCCATCGCGATCCTCACGTCAATGTTTATGCGAAAGAAATTCCTCGAAGCTCAGTTATGCATTAGGAACGAGTTGTATTCGACATATAAATCGCTTTTCGCTCAGGCGCGGCCGGCCACCGCGATGTTACACGCAGTGGGTCACCCGGTTTCAAACGGAGCTTGGTAAGGGCCGGCCGGTGCATACCTTTCTCTGTGAATGAAAATAGTGCGAATTCTACGTTTCAATAAAAGCTTAGTTAAAAAGAATTGAGACACATGTCTTGCCATGTTTGATATCGAGATCTGCATTTTAGCCGGGGAATAAATACTGAACAGCATCATATTTGTCGGTTTACGGTTTTATAACTATACAGAGTGTCCCGCAAAATATATTAAATATCGAAGATTGGGTATTTTACTGAAAGTAGACACCATTTTTATTTTAACAATAAGTAGAACTGCATTTACAATTCAAAAAAAATCGATTATCGAAACCGGAAATCAAACTAGTGAAATGTGAAACAAAAAAACATACATATTTTATCATAACCGTCGAAAGGGTGGAAAAAAATCATGAGGATCATTATTTTCTAAATAACAAAGCATTTTAAATGAAAGAAGATCATGAAATCAAAGTAGATTGCTCAGCTTCCATACATGTTTGGCCTTTATTGACGGACACCCCTGAGAACTTCTATAAACCATATACACTGAACATATTAAAAAAATAAAAAACAAATAAGTTATATAGTAAACTAGGGAAATCAAGCCAAGTACCGAAATTATGGATTAGATTCAGGTATATAGAGCATGTAGATTAACAGATAGTTGCCTGTTTTTAAAGTTAATGCATAAGAGTAACTTTTAAAATCAGGTGTCATCTATGCATTTCCGGTTATAATATGGTACTCTGTGACAGAAACTGTGTGATGATTGTGAATGAGCCACAGATTAGAGAGAATTTTAAAACTCTCGTTAACCAAAGAAAGATAAGAGATTTAGGTTATATAGCCATATATTCAGTAGCTTCATTATTTTTGTTATGTTTTTAATATAACCATATTTTAGATTTTTAGTGTATCACACCTGTTAATTTTATTTATTTATTAATTTATAGTCTGGCAACGTAGGCCCATAGATAGATACCTTAAAGTCTAACATATATACAGATTATAATGTGTTTATGGAGGTGTTTGGCGAAAAATGTATGGCAATAGACTTTATGATGTCGCCTACCATCTAAAATAATTGTCTGAGCACATTTGCATGTAGTGAAAATGATAATATAGTTGTGGATATTAATACCACAGTGTAATAAAAAAAATGATTTATTTTATCGGTCTTTTCAAAATAGATTTGTTTTTTTGTTATATAAACAACTTTGATCAGTCTTTGGCTGAATGTTACTACACCCATTGCCATTAAAAATGATTCGTATGCTTTCCAAACCTGTAAAATTAAAAGTCCTTTTTAAAGTAAATATATCTTTATATATATAATTCTTCTGTGAGTGTGTATGTCACTGAACTTCTCTTAAACGACTGGACCGATTTTGGTGAAATTTTTTGTGTGTGTTCAAGGGGATCTGAGAATGGTTTAGATTCACAATTTTGTCCGCTGGACAATG